CCACAGTGAAAGCCCGAACAATCTTTGAATTCAAAGTGATCTTATGAAAAAATCTCTCTCTCTGCAGACCAATTAGCGGCCGCAGTTAAAAGTTGGGATTTTTGAGATTACTGTAAAGAAATGCGATCCAAGCTGCATTCAACAGTTCATTAAGTAATGGCAAAATATCAATGTTGAAATTCAAAGTTGATTTTCAACTTGAGTTGCGGCATATCATATGCAACTAAGAAAAATAGATGAAATGATGCACAGTGTAGTACTCAAATTCGCTAGATGAACTGAGATGACGGCAATGACTTACTGAGTGACATAGGAGCCAGGTGACAGCTGAAAGCGCCAGGACCGCTTAATAGCATACATACAACATAAATAAATGCCCATTTCAAATTAATCACCATAATATTTTCCGTCTTAAATGAATGCAGCACAGTCCGTAATTCAATTAGGATGTCTTCGCGAGTGATAGCGGACAAGTGCCAAGGTATTAACTGCATAACAGGATTATTCAGAGGAAGATGTATTCTCTCAAGCTGTTGTGGTAGCTTTGTACTCCTGAAATGAACCCTAAAACAGTCGGCTAATCTTCCAAGAGAGCACGGTAAACTCTTTGTATCATGCGCTCTACGCTTTCCATGGAAGGCACCCGAATGGAATAACCCATTAGAATAACGAACGAAAGATTCTGGTGATGATCTCTGAGCAATATCAAGAAACAACTTTAAAGAGAAAGCACCCATGCTATATTTGTATGGTAAGAATCCAGAAAATCAGGTGTAATAATATTGCCTAAAGGTCTCATTCTTTACATCCTTCTGACTTGAAGACAATACTTAAATAGTCATTGTCATGAATAAGATAATCCAACAGTGCAAACCATTTGCGAAAACCTGGAAATGAACTATAACACAATAAACCACAGTCTATTTAAGAGTTGCCAAAAAAGACGAGGAACCAGAAACTTTATTCATATGGAGCACAAAGTTTTTAAAAACGGTCACAAAGGCGTCTTTCATAAAGCGCCATTAGTCAGACTTCAGTCAAACTGCAGGAATAGTCTTCTCTCGAAATGCATTTTGTCCATGGTAGAGAATGAAGCGGGCAAAATATCAGTTTGATGTTTCCTTCCAGATAGACTTGTCTTAAGTCACTCTTGCCCTTTCCCTCCAGGAATGTCTAAGAACCTGTTGAGCAGAAACGTCTTGGTACATTTTCAATCTCATCATTTCATTGATGACAATAAAACTCTATTCTCAACCATCTTTATTATCTCCTTTTAGCCCCTGCATTGCACTTTGCATTTAGCAACTGGGATATTTGAGTAAACACTTTTTTCAGTCAAATAAATTAAAAACTATGAAAATTTCTACCGGACCCAGTTGAAATATCGGTCGCTTTAGAAATGTGAATGCAAACATTCATTCTTGCTGATCTTCACTAGAATAATGGACGAGTAATTTGTTTTTCTGAGACAGACGACAAAAAAGTGAATAAATGCAGCATGTTGCCACTTATTACTCCCACTTAGGAGCAGTTTTCCTATCACTGATCTCGATAAAAACAGCTCAATTGCATATTCATATGAAGCCACGATTTTGGTCTCGCTGTTTATGAAGGAAAGCGGGAAATGAATTCATTCGCCTTGCAATGCTGAAGGATGAAAAGCAAGATGACAACGATCATAAACTCATTCGGAAATGGATACTGTTACCGCTAAAGCTTCCGAGAGCTTGACCGAATACCATATATGCTAATTTATTATTTTTCTCTCATTTGCCTGTCCTCATTAAATTGCAACTAGAATCAGTATATCGAAAAATCATGCCAATTTACTGTTATTGCTAATTAATTCATTTCGATCAATGAATAATTTGCATACTCAGGAAGTCACGAATATTAAATTCAGCAATGAGAATTTTGCTTCAGGCGATGGTTAACCTTTTCCCTCATTGATCATTACTGCATTCTGTAAACTGCTAAAGACAAATAATAGAGACAGATTTATCTGCGTGTTATCACACATACTTTTGCACCTTATAAATATGAAGGCTGTTTTAAATGAGAGCAGCTACAGAGTTGATCAAAACAAAATTTTGATTGAGATTTGATAATTATGTTTGAGCTGCTAATTTCTCCAATGAACGTAATCCAAATGCACTGGAAAAACTATGCATGTAGATGCAGTGACTCAAAAATGAACTAGCAATTTCAGAATGATAATTCGACTATGGTAAAAACTATTTAAAATTATGATTCAAAAATATGTGCCAGTGTTAAGGTCTCTGTCACAACTTCTTTTATGGTTTTGAAGAAAATGGAAATTTAGGAGAAAGAAAATGCATAAGATTATGGGTATGGTATTACCGTTATGGTCAACCGGTAGCTGCTGTGATGGACGCCATTGTTGACAGCTACTTTAACAAAATCCATCATGCGGGACGAATGTTCTTTTCGATAGCATAAATTAAAAACTGCCATATTTATGAAAGTAACATGCATTTAAATGGTTATTGTAACATGAGGTCCATGGGTTTTTCTGTATCGAACACCCGTCTATCCACTTTATCTTCCTTGAATGATGAAAGATGAAAACCGGCCTTGATTCGAACCCGTTTCGCCACATCAACTGAACTACTAAATTTAGCAATACGACCATTTCACTAACTCTAGAAAGCGTGCAATAGGTATAATCAGTTCGACCAATTATTGTCTTAAACTTATTAGGATTTGATATTTGTTGTTGCTTTCCACCCTCACTCTTTGTGGAGTTGAAATTGTCATATAATGGACCAAAAGGAATATACCCAATAAGTGTCATGGTCAAGAGAGAATGAGCCTTAGCCCATGCTTACCAGCCGATTTATCATCGACGAGCGCCTGCATATCTGAACTGCTGTTGCTGTCGACGGACATGGATTGCTGCCGTTTGCGGCTTTTTATCAGGTTGCGCTCCTTGACCTTGTACTCGAGAGTCGAATGTGGCACCCCGTAATAACTTCCTGCACGATGAACACTCATCTCGCCTCGGCGCACTGACTGTACGGCTTGAGCCAGCGCGCTCTTATCGTACTTTCTGTATTGGCCCCTCTTCGGCCTCGATTTCTTGCAGACGCTTTCGGTGACACCTGCTTGGCCTAGACAACTTTTGTACGCGGCTTTCGTCGCATCATCACTGCCACCTCGCTGCTGTTGCTGTTGCTGCTGCTGGTCCCCAATGATGTCAACCATATTGGATATGGAATCGCGTGCTTTTTGTTCGAACATCTAAATTATTCACCGTATTCATCAGAAGCTGACAACATTGTCGTCTTTCAAAGAGGATACACTTAAGCCAGCCACAGCGAGCTGCATAATGTGCAGCGCTATTTCAGATGCTTATGCTATTCGGCGCGGCTTTAAGTTCACAATGCTTGTTCCGAAATTTAAAAATCACCCGTTTGCGCCTGCTGAATCCCTAATCAACCGTCATCATACCTTTCCGGTACCATGCTACCGTCCAGTGTTACTCAACTCGGTATTAACTGCTGTTAAGTACCTGAACACGCTAACGCGACAGATCGGTTAAAAATTCATAATCCATAAACAGCTCAACTACACGTGCAAGCCAATTTGGTTTCAAAATACTGTATTCAAAAATCGGCAGCTTCACGACCACAACAGTAATTACCAGAAAAACTACATCTACAATGCAGAAATGAAAGGGGAATTAGTATTCCTCTGAGAAATTCTTTTCGCAAATGCGTGGAAACGTTTACGCTTGATAACTGTTACCTTATCCAGATTAATACCTAAGAAACTTTATAGGCTATGGGGCCAATGGATAGCTCATTATTGCAAATGATATTCAACTAACAGATCTGTCTAATTATGCATGATATGCAATTTAGATATAATGCTGCAACACTTTAGAAATTATTCCAATCAGTTCAAGAAATGAGTGCTCGTCCAAAAACATCGACCTCAGTATCTCGGTAGAGAATTATTAGAAAATTGTAGATTTCATTGAAAGTATTCCTTTCCAAAAATGCACCATAACCAGTATTAGAGATATAGAAAATCATTTTTTCTAACCTTTCATTACAAACGCTTATTAAATGAAGTAACATAGCATACTGTACCTGAATTAAGGCGATTTTCGATGCGTTCTGCACCATTATCGAAACGCATTCACTATTCATTACAGAAGACAGATGGCTATCGGTATCCCGTTTCAACTTTTCCTCTTGGTCCCTGTCCAAATGAAGCATTTCTGCTTGGGCTTTAGCCAGATTAAGTGTCAATTCCTGTAACGTAAGTCGACTATGCTCGCTGCTGCCGCTAACTTGAACTTGCTTATCGTAATCAGATAAGATCACAGGTTGAGTAGCTGGTGGTGATGAGTGTTCATAGTTGGTTTCAGCAGCCGCTTCTGCAGTCCGATGACGTTTACGGTCATTTCGATTATTAGATGCCTCTAGCTTGTAGATTTTGTTCCGCAGAGTAGACCTGGGAACGCCGTATATAACAGAAGCCCGTCTGGTGCCTAGCTTTCCGCTTCTAATGTCCAGAACGGCTGCTTCCAAATCAGCCTTGCTATAGTTTCGTTTGTTCACATGATTAGACGAAGTGCTTAAATAAAACAGGTTAAAAATAAGGCACTGTTAGACAGAAACGAAACAAAGATCAGGATCATCTATCACTGGCAACAGTACTCAAGCAGGAAGACCTCTCAGATTTTCCGGAAATATAAAACAGCATAAGGAAGGCATTTTGCAAGGGACAATAAGGATAACATATGGAAATCAGAGAAAGTTTAAGGATTATAACTCCGTCTCAATGAATTCATTGTATTCACTAGAATCGAAGCTAAAAATTTGCTACCTAGAATGATGAAAATGATTATCAGCTTGTGATGTTGTTCCATAGACAACTAAGACTTTAGGAAGAGCGATTGTTAACATATTTGGCAAGCAATCTTGCATACTGTATAAAGCATTTAATTACCATTCTTACTGTAACGATGCCTCTAATAATGCCGTTAGCACTATCAGTGCAAAACAAATTCATCTTTGAAAATAACCGCTGGCAGAATATTGCATTGTATCCTAATTGTGCAAACTTTGTTTGTAGTATTGAAAAATACGTTTTAAAGTAAACGGACGCTTATCAACCTAAGAAGCTGAATATAACGAAACAAAAGTTTAGACTGAAAATGGTGTGTGGGTAAGAAGTAGAAAACTGCTTCCGACACTGCAGCTTCAGAACGCTTCGCCTAAAAAAATGTCAGTTGGTGATTTTGCACGGCAACATCACCGGAACTAGTTAGAAAACTAAAAGTTAAATGTTTAATTATATCAATCTAGTAACACAGAAGTTGCTTAAGGGGCAGTAATAAAATGAATTAAAATAAATTTTAGGCAATATATCTATGAATTTTACAGATGTCTCAACTCCTAACTATATTACACAATGATGACTGTCAGTCGTTCAGAGTTATCATGATGGCAATGTAAATCTTTGGGAAACCTCAATACTTCTCTCATTCTTTTTTACCCAGGAGTCTTCATTTCCATTCTAAGAGTATGCATCATTATGAGAAAACTTTATCATGTATTTTTCGTGAATTGCTATGAGTGGTGGCCGCCAATTCTTTTTTTCAGGTTTGGAATCAAAATTACTTTCTTATAGGAACTCTTTAAAAGACATAAACAGCTGTGTAAGTCCCAGTAACTACAGTCTTATTAGCTAAATGCTGCTAGTTGCAGGGACAGGGTTTACCTGTGAAATAAGACTTCGAGATTACGGTAGCGATTCAGAAGTATACACTCCTTCATACTTACCCCTCAAACGCGATTCAGTGCCTTAGTCGTTTCCGCCCCTCGAATTGGAGACGCTGGGGCTGGATCAGTCATAGCCAAGATAGCTCTTGTTTATTCATGAAACCATGGATCGCATTCTAAGACTTGTGCTGTAATCCTATTGTGCAGGGTAATTCTACATTGTGCAAGTCAGGGTTGTTTGAACCTAATCTTAACATGCTATATCGTTACAACATGTGCCCAGCAGCAACATCAGAAAATGAGTTCATATACGGAGAATATATTAACAAACTTAATTAAAGCAGAGTGAGTCATAGAGCATTATGACATTCTCCTCCACCAGTCCTATGTGCCTGTTAGCGGGCAAGTAGGTCACAGCTCCACTGCAGTGTAGCATTTGTGGCACAGTAATGCATTCGCGTCTATTGTTTCGCTGCTTGCCCTTCTGTTTACCAGAGTTGCAGGAGGAACGATTAATCGTTATATAAGACAAACAGAAAGTGGGTTTATCTGCGCGTTGCAAGGCAAATATCAGGAGATCGTGACCCACTTAACTGCTTCATTACTAGGCATTTAGAAGAAAGGACGTAGTACAATAACGCTGCATATTCTGATTTGATGGATCGATGCTTACGAATATGAGTTCATAATGAAATTATTTTGCATCACAATGCACTGAAATGCATCGTTCATACCATGTTTTAAGGATAGTTAAAAGTTCCTGGTCACCTTCAATTAGTTATTAGTGTTTAGCTAGTTCATTCAGCTGTCCAACAGTATTTTGACGAAACTCAGCTGTGTACAAAAGGGAAAAATGTATGGGCATATGTTATATGCAAAGACCAGACCAGGCCGTAAGAACTCATTGGAAAGCAACGATGAAACAGACATTTCGAAGTGTCTACATTTTCTAATCACCAAGAGGGCTGTGCGTGATGTTGAACAGCATGCAAGGGGTCAATGCAAAATTGTAGAGAAATGTATTTTAGACAAAAATCAATTATGTTCAGTGACTTACTAAAAACAGCATCTTACAACCCGTAACTCCATGATCATCAGCAGTTCGACGCATCTCATTATGGTTGCGATTCTTTAAGTCAGAAGATATTCAATAAAAAAACGCAAAGTAACTAAATTGTTTAAGAAGTCTATGAACCGCCATGACAGTTCAATAAAAGGAAAACTTCTATATTCGTTGTGAGCCTGGCCAGTCGTTTTGTAAGAAAAATAAGCATTTTTCACATTTTTAGGTATAGCATATGTATGCGAGAAAAATAAATTGAACTGAAATTGAAATTTTAAAAAATCGCGGGATGATATGCTGTGATTAGTGGTATTTGAAAAAGTTACAAACGAAACGAGACATTGGTTTGAACTGAAATTTCATACATAGTTTATCGAAAAAATAGGCATTCAATTTGATTTATAGTCAAAACAAATTGAAGACAGAATGACGAGTACGCGATCACCATCCAGCCCGCAGCAAGATCCATCCAGCAACTCATTGTGGCAACCCACCTGTAGGATAGGCCCAGCTTAGTCTATTAGTCCCTCCCCCATTTGGATGAGCCCTATAGAATCGTGTGATACAGCTTTGGCAGGTTGTGCATGTGCATATAGTAAAGATGCACAGAAGAGTATATTGGAGAATCCTAGACAGAAGCATGGAATAAAAGAAAATGATTGAAGATCGTTATGAGGCTTACGGCCTAGTTCAGAGAATTGTCTGTTGCAAGTTCATAACTTACGTGTAATGTCCCTCTTGTCATCATTCCAGCCAGGGGAGAAAGTGTGAGAAGCTAGGTATTGAGGATACGCAACTGTTTAGGACATGACTGGGCTACAAGGGTGAGTTTTCCAGTGCCTGTGAGCAGGCAAGAACTCTCCTTTTTTCTCACTTACACCATGCGTTGAAACTTCGATACGCCTTATACATTCACTTTGTATCACGAGTTATCTAGTTAAGCGTCATGAACGGTAATAAAAATTAAGAGAGAAAAACGTAAACCGTGCCATCAAATTCTGCAAGGGTGATTAGTGTTTGGAATGCTGGGTCAAAGCAGCAGCTGAAGAATGACGTATGCGATGGAAATCTTCAGAGGATTCAGTCCGTTTCATTTCGTTAGACACTTGTGCTTTTCGCATGCGTCCTTTATATTTCCCGACTGAACAGCTATTAGACAATAGGTTTCATATTCCCATCATGTTACGTTCTTACGTCAGGTTCCTTCTCGGCTTACAAATGTCAGAATCATCCACAATGGTACCACATTCGTGTCCTAAACAGTCGTACGTTTAGGCTGAAACTGTTCCTGCGTCACACAGCCATTCAAACTCTCTCCACCGGTAGGAATGATGACAAGATGAGCATGGCATATACCTGATGATCCTGAAGCAGATATTTTTCTGAATTAGACTGTAAATCTCATAAAGACCTTTAATCCCTTTCTTATACTCCATACGTCCATCTAGGGCTTTCCAACATACACTTCTGCGCATCTATCCTATCTGCGCCTGTGCAACCTGACTAACCGCATCTGCCTCTGAACTAAACTGTGAACCCGGTTCCAATAAGGCATGTCATCCAACCGAGGGAAAAATACACCTAGCTGGGCCCTTCCTGCAGGTTTTTCTCCACATTATACGCAGGATAATTGCAGATCTTGATTCGGAGTGAACAGTGGTCACGCACTCGTCAATCTGCTAATTTGTTTCAGCCATAAATCAAAATAGAATACCTATTTATTTCTAATAAACTATGCATGAAATGTAAGTTCAAACTAATGCCTCGTTCTGCTTGAACCTTTTTCCGGAATACACGTCAAACACTTTAATAAGTACTATTGGCATATTCAAAAGAATGAATCGTCATGTACCGTTATTCTTTACTGTTCTTTAGTAATCATTTACGTTGTAAAATAAGTTACTCAACGTGATGTTAAAAACGAGAATACAATCTGCCGCATCTTGTTCCACTCCTTCACCAAAAAAGACACTTGTCATCTCATTTAAGATTATAAAGATTACCCTATCTAGCTTTCAAAGTTCATAATGATTACAGTATTAAGAAGTAACCTCCTCTTATTTCCATCTAAAGACTAAATGCGTGTAGTTGGTAAACCCTTTCGTTTCCAAATTACTGACACTTCTGTAAAAGGATAAGGGGTGCCATTTCTACTGGTCATATCTTCAAAACTGTCTCCTTAGTGAACAGGTACCTTCTCTTAGGCTCCAACTTGCAAATGAAGGAATATTATATATTTTTAACAGTCTATCTTCGGCTCTCATTCGCTAATTCTGACTGACGCATCAGTTGATCTGAGCGGGAAAATATCCTGTTAGAATTTCAGATTATTTACAAATGAAAAGCATAGAATGTGTGCTTCTACTTTTGTGTCAGTACTATATAGCAGATGGTGGAAGTAAACATATACACTGTATTCGCTTTTTCCTACCAGTCTCTTAGCCTTGATCCGCTGACTCCATTTTACGCAACACCAATGGCCATTAGCTACTCATTCCTGTTATTCTTATTTTGTACCACTGAGAAAGTGCGCCCTTTTCGAACACTGTTATTCAGTGTTTCCACGGCGTCAACAAAATATACTAAGTTTTAGTGTGGGTCTTATATTTCAACATATGATTGTAGTGTTAATACTGCAATAGTAACATGCATTTTTTGCCTGACTGGATGTTTTGTTTATTGCCTCCGCATTATGAACAGCGTAGAACAATAGTTTTGAATGCAATTAAAAGCTTATATGTCTACAAACCGAAAAGGAAAACTCGATTTTCGACCTTCATTAACTTTGTTACAGCTTCGT